TGAAGGGGAGAGAGATAGAAACATGAATGATGAGAGAATCATCAATAGGCTGCCTCCTGCACACTACCCCCTCCTCCTCCCTGGGGATTGAGCTCACAAACCCGGCATGTGCCCTGACCAGGAATCAAACCACAACCTCCTAGTTCATGGGTTGACACTCAACCACTGAGTCACACCAGTCGGGCCTTCACACTATTTTTCATATTGGTTGCAACAAATCATATTCCCACCAACAGTGCACAAGGGTTCTCTTTTCTCCATATCCTTGCCAACAATTTTTATTTCTTATCTTTTTAAGAATAATAAAAGCATAATATGCTAACTAGACTGGACATCCTTCCAGACAAAGCCAAGGCTGTGAGGCAAGCCCGGGTCCTGGGTGCCTGCCCCCGGTCAGAGGGAAGCCCAGGTCCGGGTGCCAGAGGGAAGCTGGTGCCAGCAGCCAGGGGAAGGAAGGCCTATTCTTGCATGAATGTCATGCATTGGACCTCTAGTCTTTTTAATAACAGCCATTCTAACAAGTGTGAAGTGATATCTCACTGTGGTTTCAATCTGCATTTCCCTGGTAATTGGCAATGTTGTGCATCTTTTCATGAACTTGATGGCCATCTGTATGTCTATGTCTTCTTTGATAAAATATTTATTCAGATCTTCTGCCCATTTTTAATTGATTTTTTGTTATTAAGTTGTATGGATTCTTTATATATTTTGGATATTATCCCTTATCAGATATATGATTTATAAACTAGAGGCCCGGTGCACAAAAAATTTGTGCACTCAGGGGGGTCCCTCAGCCCGGCCTGTGCCCTCTTGCAGTCTGGGACCCCTCAGGGGATGACCATCTGCTGGCTTAGGTCTGCTCCTCGGGGGATTGGGCCTAAGCTGGCAATCAGACATCCCTCTAGCAGCACGGCAGCCCTCGGGGGATGTCCACTTGCCAGTGGGGAGCAGGCCTAAGCTGCAGTCGGACATCCTTAGCGCTGCTGAGGAGGCGGGAGAGGCTCCCACCACCACCACTGTACTGGCAGCCGTCAGCCTGGCTTGTGGCTAAGCAGAGCTCCCCCTGTGGGAGCACACTGACCACCAGGGGGCAGCTGCTGCATTGAGCATCTGCCCCCTGGTGGTCAGTGTGTGTCATAGTGACCAGTCATTCCCAGTCTTTCTGCTGTTAGGGTCAATTTGCATATTACCCTTTTATTATATAGGATAGTTTTTCCATTCAGTAAGTTGCCTTTTCATTTTGTTGATAGTGTTCATTTCTGTGTAGAAGCTTTTTAGTTTGAGGTTGTTACACTTGTATATTTTTGCTTTTGTTACTTTACTTTTGGGGTCAATTTAAAAAATCATTCCCAAGACCTATGTCAAGGACCTTACCACCTATTTTCTTCTAGGATTTTTGTGGTTTCTGGTATTATTTTCAAGTCTTTAATACATTTTGAGTTAAGTTTTTAAAAATATATTTTTATTGATTTCAGAGAGGAAGAGGGAGGGAGAAGAGATAGAAACATCAATGATGAGAGAGAATCATTAATCTGCTGCCTTCAGCATGCCCCCCTACTGGGGATGGAGCCTGCAACCCAGGCATGTGCCCTTGGCAGGAATTGGACCCGGGAGTCTTCAGTCTGCAGGCCAACATACTATCCACTAAGCCAAACCACATAGGGCTTGAGTTAACTTTTTTGTATGGTGTAGGAAGTAGTCCAGTTCCTTCCTTCCTTCCTTCCTTCCTTCCTTCCTTCCTCCCTTCCTTCCTCTCTTCCTCCTTCCCTCCCTCCCTCCCTTCCTTCTTTCCTTCTTCCTTCCTTCTTTCTGTTTTTTTTTTACATGTGGCTGTTCAATTTTTCCAACACCATATATTAAATAAATGATTTCCCCCCATTTTATATTTGTGACTTCTTTGTCATAAATTAATTGACCATATATGCATGGGTTTTTTTTCTGGGCTCTCTATTCTGTTCCATTGATCTATTTGTCTACTTTATCCCGGTACCTTAGCTTTATATTATAGCTTGAAAACTAGGAGTGTGATACCTCCAGTTTTGTTTTTCTTTCTCAAGATTGCTTTGACTATTATAATTTGAAGAAAAACTAAAAAATTAAGTTATGTAATATTTTTTTCTAATAGTTTACTTTTCTACTTTTATTATCTACTATTATAAATTAATCAAATATTAATAGGAGACATTTGAACGTAATATTTAGTCACATCTCTCATAAGAGGTAAACACCATATTTCAACATAAAGTTTAATTCATGGAAATATTTTGGTTGTGGGTTTATATAAATAAATAATTTTGATTAATTTTGCTATTTCATTTAATTATTAGTATTACAAATAGCTAAATTTTATATTATAGAAAGAAACAGAACAATTATTGTGAATAAAATATAAGGAAACTTTATTAAAAGATAATTATTGAGGAGCTATCTACAGCAGCAAATGTAAAAGAAGGCTTTAATAAAATATAATTATAAACAGTAATCAAAATATTTTTGTCTTAACAGTAAGTATATATAGTAGCTCAAAAAAATCATGATGTCCACTCATATAGGAGTTTTACAGGCTTTTCCTGACATTTATGATTAGCATCCTTTGTGCAGAATTATTTCTTAAAGCATTTAGTGTTTAAAATACTTTTCAATATTATACTGCTCCACTGATAGTGGAACTCACCTGCCTCTCCATCACTTGCAGTAAGGCGGCAAAGCCAGCAGAAGGAGTGGAAGGCTGCTGGGCATACAGAAAACAAACAAATATGTTATCAATAGAGACTATTGGTGAATGATCCCAATGCCATTTTCCCTGTCCTGTTTGGGGAAATATGTATATTAAAGCGTCTGATTAGGTATACTGAGGAGTAAAGGCTAACACAGAGAAATGAAGGAGAAAATTAGAACTATTGGGGGCCATTTGGTGTTAAGTATAAACCAACTCTGCTGACCACAGTAGGATCTGCAAACTCACTGTATACAATAATGTTCATACTGGAGACAATGAGGTGTAAAGAAAAGGCACATTAAATTACCTGTTCCGTAACATTTTACAAATATTTCCATCATTTATTGTTATGTTTATAAAGCTTTAGGAAATATATTCATTCAATTCTTTTTTAAAACATTTCCAGTTGATCCAACACTGTAGAAGAATAATAGTATATAACCTATGGCTATTTTATAACATACTATATATCTTAAATATTCCTCTCTAACTATTGATATTCAAATATGGTTAACATAGTCATCCTTCAGATTTCAAGTCCCTAACTAATACAAATTCAAGTTGTAATAGACTTCAGTATTTACTTAAGCAAACTGAAATGTGTTCACAAAACGGTTTCAGAATGACACGGGTGGACTGCGTAGCCTTGTCAACAAGTGGACTACCTTCCTAAAAGCGAGGCTGGTGTGCTCAGTAACCGACGAAGACGGCCCGGAAACACACTTCGATGAATTAGGTACATAGATGTGAATCTGAAAGGTGTTTGAAAGAGACTTTGTAAAGTTTATAAAATTTAATAATAAACTCTCAGGAGAGGATGTATTTTACATGGATGTTTTCAGCATAAACAGTATGTCCATTTGAATTAATGATCTGGATACTCTCAATAAATTTCTTAAGTATTTTTAAAATTTGTTTTGTATCTGAATGCATTGCTGAAACATTTAGTTCATTGAATTCTCCATAATATATTCCTAAATTCACTTTGAATTTAAAATAAAAAGCTCTTTCTTTGTATTCCTCAACAAGAATTTTATTTGCAAAAATGTCACTAAAAACAGACATCTCTTGTAATCATAACAATTGTTTATTAATTGCTGTTTTTTGTCAGAAAGTTACTTCCAGGTTTTGTTGTTTATTACTTTATTATCTATGCCATTGTCTTTGCTTTAATATACTTTAAACTTCTTGTTGTCAGAGGAATTGCTAATTAAAAATATCACTAGCAACTTTGACCATAGGCCAAAAAAATTCTTATTTTGTATGAAGAAAAAAGTCCCTGTGTAAAAGTTTTCTTCCATGTCAGAACTTCTAACCCTACCTCAGAAAAATGTATATAATCATTAAAGGATATTTAGAAAATGCAGAGAAAAAAAGCAGCAGAAATAGTTTAAGGTTACATAGTTCTAGTTCACCTTATATTCCATTGTGCCTTTTTCACTTAATGTTATTTTATTAGCATGGTTTCCATAATGTTATAGTCTTCATAAATCCTGTTAGTTGTTGTATGACATTTTATTTAATTTATTTTACCATGTGCCTATAATTTAATTCATTTAGTTTTTAAATTGGAATGATGCTGCAGGAATCTCTTTCTGAATTCTTTTCATAGTTTAAGTTATTTTCTTAGGGTAAATTTTAAAAATACATTTAATATTTGGGAATTTGAAAGAATGATATTTCTCTTTTATAGAGGATGTATTTCTACTTGAAACTGATAACCCAAGGACAACACTAGTGTATGGCATTTTTACAACATCAAGGTAATTATTAAATAATTATATCTTATGATTTAAACAATAAACTTTATTGAGCAATAGTAATTATTGCTAAAGCATTCTTTTCAATTTTTTAATTCTTTTTTAATCACTTGAGGACATGCTTTTATTGATTTTAGAAAGGAAGGGAGAGGGAGAGAGAGAGAGTGAATTATCATTATGCTAGTGAACATTGGTTGGTTACCTCCCACATGCACCCTGACTGGGCATTGAAGCTGAAACCAGGGTATGTGCCCTGGCCAGGAATCGAACCCGAGACCTTTCAGTGAATGGGACAATGCTCCAACCAACTGAGCCACACCAGCCAAGGCTCTTTTCAACTTTTAATTTTGCCTAGCATTAAGGATTTAACCTTACTGTTTTGTTACTTTTGCTTATAAGCTGAACTAATGCTTTCAAAACAGTTTTGTACAGAGTATAATGATTATATGATGTTTTCTCAAAGAAAGAAAAAATTGCATTGTAATGCAGAATAAAGTATATATGATTTTTGTTTTAAGGAAATAATTTGAAGACTCATGATTCAAATAGAGCTTTTTAAATTTCTATTAAACAACTTTTACTTCTAGAGCAATCTCAGGTGATTACTTAGAAGCTAGCAAAATGCTGAACATGTTTTTATGTTCTATGTGGCAGTATTTCATATATTTGAATATATTTGAAAATATATTTAAAAATATATTTGATGTTTTCTAATTCTCTAGAATGCCTAAGCCCAATTATTATATTCACCATATCCTCACCATTTCCTGTACACATTTTTTATTTTATTTTATATTAGGAATGTTACTCAGAATTCAATATAATATTCCAGCATGGAATGCAGAATCTACTGGGTCCCTTTCATTAGACAATCAACTACAAAGTGAAAATTTAGAGATTTTGGTAGTATTTTCTAGTAAGGGAAACATGATATGATTGCAAACTATAGCCATTCAATGAGAAATAAAACCACAGGGATACTGGTTTACATCATATTTACATTTGCCCTTAAGATATCTAAAAAGATGTCCTTTGGGATAAGTTTAACTTCTGTTCTAACAAAGAAAGTAGTTTGATTTAATCCGCAAAGAATTCAACAAAGAAAAAAATAACCAAATTCTTAAGAAGAAAATGTTTGTTTCAAAAAAATATTTTCCTAGTTTCTGTTTTTCCCATACCAATAGCTTTAAGATTAAAAAATTTAAATGGTCATTTCTGATTATTAATGCTAATAATTAATAATATACCTTGTTTTTTCAATGGGCATATAAGTTTTCATTGGCCATCTAAGTTTTCCATTATGCATCTAATGTAAGAGAAATACGTGAATTGGAGAAAAGTTGGTTTCAGACAATCTGCCTTAGTGATAATGCCAATGGTTTTCATTAAGGATCCAATCTAAGTTTATGGGATTTTACTGACTAAAGGTAACTTAATGAATCTTTTTAGATCCCCTTTTTTTCTGTGACTAGCAGGGAAAGTACATAAATAATGATGATTCAGACTTTTCCAATACTATTTAGGATAACCTGTAAGAACACTCTCACATTAAAAGTCAAGACAAAGAGATATGATATTCTCTTATGAGTGAAATTTGTTTCTGTCAGTTAAGTTATAATAGGCTGTATTGATAGTGATTTAGAATTCAAATTCATATTTTAAATAAATCAATTTTTTGCTTCTAAGATAAACTAGTTAGAAACTTCTTTAACGTATACTATATTACAGAAACATTAAGAACTTTTCTATAACTTATTGTCTATTACATTCATGAATGAATTAAATGTCTTAATGCTTTATGTATCAATGGCTTATTTCAAAATAGTAGAAGCTTTTTAGCTTTACAATGTGTACTATAAAATTGAACTTCTCCATGAAGAATTATATCAACTTTTTATCATGAACTTTGCCATCTATTTTTAAAATTGTGTTTAAATTAAAATAATCAGAAAATGGATCTCTTTCTGTTTTCATTTTTTTTAGCTCAGTTTTTAGAGGATCAGCAGTGTGCGTGTATCATTTATCTGATATACAGACTGTGTTTAATGGTCCTTTTGCCCACAAAGAAGGGCCAAATCATCAGCTGATTTCCTATCAGGGTAGAATTCCATATCCTCGCCCTGGAACTGTAAGTATCCAGAAAAGTTTCTTTGTTATTTTGCTTTTTTTAAAAATGGAATTTTAAAATGTAAATCAGTTTAACAGTCATTAAATACAACCATAGACCTACTGGTATATTTGTTATAAATTTTCAGGTCACAGCTTCCCAGATTTGGGATTTTCCAAATATATCATATATGTTATAACACTCTATATTTTTTCCTAAATGCTATTACTAATAAATCTTATTTAGATTTCAAGGCCACTGGTTATGTATCAGGGCACAGATATTTTCCTAATTGTATTGACATAAAAACCATAGCTTTTAAAGTGTTAACCTTTTGGTGGCAACCTAAGAATTTGGATGCTAGTCGCTTTTCACAACTCTTCTTTATATTAAGGAATCTCATCTATTTTAGTGAAGAAATAACTAGGTGAGAATTAATTTAGAGATAAATCATGTGGAGATATTTCAATTTTAAGGGGTATATTTATTTTAAAAGTCTATGTTGTTATTTCTCATAGATAGAAAATGGTATGTGTGAGTAAATAATTACAGTGAAAGTGATGTTACAATTCAAACGATTTACAAACTATAAAGTTTCAAGGCATACAAATATATCTGAGTCTTGCAATATTAATAATATCAAAGAGTACATTAAAACTAACCTTTTTTCAGGTAAAGTTGTAGAAAGTGCACTGGCAGATTGGAATTGAAATGTTTCTAGGACAACAATGACCACAGTCCTACTGTTAGTTTTTTATTTGACCCATAATAGTGCTGTCTTGCATGCTAGAATACTGATTAGTTTCTGTCTCTGTAAAATGTCATACAGTGTACTGACTGAGAGGAGATGTAGATGTTACACAATTGACATCAAGAGAAATATCATTTTCCTATGTCTGTGCTTTTGTAGAATAGAGTCAAAATTATAAAATAGGGTGTATGTAAGTAAAGAATGATTGAATGATTTTATGGACAAAATTAAAATATAGTCGTTAAAATAATATTTACTTTTAAAGAGTTTTTTTTCTTTAACTTGAATATGAAATTCCCTTTGCCAATATGCTTTCAGATATCCATTCTACATCATTTTTACCAATTGTTGATCCACTTTGTTTTTGTGTAACTATTAGAGTTTATTTACAATGTATTATTTACTCCCTTATTTTTTATCATCTTAAATTATACTGTAGTCAATTTTTTTACAATAGAAAAAATTATTTGCAAAGACTTTAAAGAACTTATTTATTCAAAACAAAAGGGCGCAAGTTTGGTTTCCTGTTAGGAACCATAAAGGTTAATCATTTTATTAGCAAATTAACTTTTAATTAACTTAGGAAAGATTATCAGCATTGCTACTAATCCATGAAAAAAATAAATTTTAAAAACCATACTCAATTATTGCTGGCAACACAGTCCTATCATAGAATTCATAATCTCCTTTTAAATTACCTCTTTATGATGCCCATAGCTCAACAAAAAAAGGGGAAAATAAAAACATTTATTTTGTATGACATAGAAAAAGAAGTCAAGAGATATATCCATCTTAAGATACCTCAGTTTAGGGAGTGTTGGATAAAAAGCAGACATTACATAAGAGAGGGGCAAGTAAAGGGGGAATTGAGCAACTTTCAAATTCCATTATAGCTCAAAAGTGCTCATTTTTCACTCACTGTATTTCTTGCATTTCCAGGTGACTCACTGATAATGTATTCACAGATAAATCACATTTTTGAGAATTACTTGGTTTTTGAAGTTGACCAAGTCATTGCTTCACCATAATACAGAAAATTTAGAGGTGGTTGTTATTACATATACTTTAAAAAAAAGATTTTATTGTTTTTGAGAAAGAAAGAGAGAAACATTGATCAGCTGCTACCCACATGAGGTTGACCAGGGTATGTGCCCTGACTGGGAATCAAATCTACCACCTTCCAGTACATGGGACAACGTTCCAACTAACTGAGCCACACCGGCCAGGGCTGGTGGTGTATACTTTTATCCATTTGTCTTTGAACAGCACATACATGGGATATAGTACAGGAGCAATTGATTTGTAAACTCAATACCTTAAGAGAAATCCCTTGGATAAATCAATAAAACAAATAAAAGCTAGCCACACTAATTGAATCAGGGTTCATGGCCCCAGAGCTGCAATGCGTATGGGGGGCGGGGGGGCAGCTTATACCAGCTCACCAGAACGATGCACCTTGTCTCAAGTAAGGACATCATGCTAATAACTTGAAATCAGCACTGTGGGAGTATTTGCACTATGGAAATCGGCAAATATTACAAATCGGGAATTTTCCCCCTGAAGCCTCCCTCGTCCCAGGGCTCATCAGACTCTTCACCCAGATCAAAGGGACACTGAGCATCACAGTGTGAGAACCCCTCACGTCAGAGAGCAGTTATTCTACATAAAAGGTGGGGATGAGAAACCCTTTTCAGTAAAACAGTAAATTACTGTGAAACTACAAGAGCCTGCCAGCAGTCCCATTCTCACTATTCCCAAGCTCCAAAAATGAGCATTTTCTTTTCCCTGTTCTAAAGCAGTGTGGAAGAAGCCTGGGCTACAACAAGCATCTGGAGCTGACTCCGTGAAAAAAAGGGAGTAATCAGTCCTTGAGCCATATTTCTATAATGGGCTCTCTTACATCTGGTGCTGAAAAAAGAGCAGCTCTTTTAAATTAAAAAAGTCAAATGAGTGAGCCTTCGGGAATCAAGGAGGCAGGGTGGAGGAATGACCTCTGGAACTCCTCCTAGGAAATCATTCCTCCCTGAGGATTCGGTCCCTCCACCCTTTACTGAACAGCACACCCGGAGTCAGCTCTCTGACTCAGAGTGGCCAGTGTCTGTCTCTTCCCTGCGCTTCCAGGATTTCATATCCCATTCATGGAGCCAGAAGACCTACAGCCAAGTGACCCAGAGCATTGCCTCTTCTCTAGGGTTAAGAATGTTGCCTCTGAAATCCTCCCAAGGAAGGATCGCCATACGTTATTTCCCTACACAGTAGTCCAGTTGCCAGGTCAACCTCATAAATATATAACCGGATTCTTAAAGAAATGACACTGGCAGAAATCGTATACCCTCATTGTAATGCTCCCTGTAGGTGCTTCATTTAAAACAGGACTGAGAGCTGTGTTAGCAAACCGCCCCACCAGCAAGTCTAAGTCAGTAGGAAGAAGCCTGACAATTGTGTCATAATGTTGTTCCATAAGTAATTCAAGTTTGTGGAAGAAACAAGACACCTTTGGTATGTTGCAGAGGGCTGCCAAAGACTGCAGATTCTCTCTGTGGCTGAGCTAACATATTACATGATCCCGTTGCAATGTGTACAGAGCTTCTGCAGAGATTGTGTTTGCACGTGCTAGCCTGTTCAAGCAGAGCCTAATGAAAGTGTTCAGTTTTAATATCTATTTACTATAAATGGAGCAGAACCATCGGTTTCAATCATGTTGCTTTGACCAGGTCTGGTATCTGGTAGAGCACAAGAGCACAAGAAATTCTCAATCCACATAGTGCTGTCAAGAGAAAGAGAAGTTGATTGCTAGCACTTTTATTGATTACATGCACCGACCTGTTGTTCTTACGTTAGAAGTATTTCTATGTCTCTGAGATGTTTGAAAATATTAATAAAGTTTATAATAATATTAAACACATAGGGCATGTAGACATGAACATTCAAATTGCATACTTTTCAATTCATTCAATGTATGAATAGCCCTGGCTGGTATGGCTCAGTTGGTTGGAGCATTGTCCCATGCACCAGGTCATGGGTTTGATTCTCTGGTCAAAGCACATTCACTGTGTTTCAGCTTCCACCTCAGGTAAGGGAACTTAGAGGAAGCAACTGATCAATATTTCTCTCTCGCATTGATACATCGAGTTCTTTCTTCCTCTCTTCTCTTCTCTTCTCTTCTCTTCTCTTCTCTTCTCTTCTTTCTCTCTCTCTTCTCTTCTCTTCTCTTCTCTTCTCTTCTCTTCTCTTCTCTTCTCTTAAAATCAATAAAAAGCATATCCTCAGGTGAGGATTGAAAAAAACCACACACCAAAAAAACACATGAATAAAATAGACAGTAAATATTGCAGTCTGGAGGAGCGAGTGTCCATCAGCCTTGTTTGGGAAGGCATGTAAAAATATATGAGTCGAGCTCATTCTGAAGGGCAGTTGGATATGAATTAGTTGGATAGGTAAGGAAGGATGTCTCAAGCAAAGGTTACACTACACATTACAAGGCAAAGAAAGAAAAGAATAAGTGAGCCCTAGAAGCTCTACATGGCCTAGCAGGACTGAGCAGAGGGTTCTTTTGGAAGTGGAGGGAAATGTGAGGAAGAAGAGGGCCAGCTGGTGCATTAAGTGCAAGACTTTATGTAATTGTTTGGGCTTTAAATAAAGGGTCTAGATTACCAAGGGTCTAAACATGAGGTCAGTTTCCTCAGAATACAAGTTTTATAGACCAATGCTAGTAACTAGCCCAGATTCTGGAATGTTTCTAAGTCTATCTATTTATCCATTTACCACTCATCTTTCAAGTGTTAGGTCAAGCTCCCCTTGACCATGCCAATAACTCCTTCTCTGACTAGTTTTGCATTTATTTTCTGCTGTTTTCAGCCTCAGCTGTTACTTCTTTCCTCCACTTTGTGTTCCATGACCCAACAACGCCCCAAACTTTGTTTACTTATCTCTAAACCACATCACTAACTCTAGCAGCCTTAAGTTCTCCACTATTCTAAATGTGTTTAAAAATTTTGACTCTTTTTTTAAAAAATTTATCTTTATTGTTGAAATATTACAGATGTCCCCCTTAATATTACAGATGACTCTTAAACATATATGGCAATTGATTATGAATCAAGCTCTCTTGTTTATTTTATATTTGTCTTAAATTACTTTTATGTGTCTTGTTATTTTGCTTTGACTATGTCCATCTTTCTTACCAGAATACTTGTGTCTAGAAGACAATTGCAGCTTTTTATTCTTAATTTTTCTACTGGGCACATCAAAATGATTCTTGGATAAAAAGCTGCCCAGAGAATGGACATATGAATTAATATAGAATATATGAATGATGAAAACTAGTAGAATGGATGTGAGGATTAGGAGAACATTTAAGAACATCAGAGGTCAGCCATGCACAGTAATACCTGGGAATAGGAACAAAATTAAGTAAGGGCAACAATTGTTCACACTTCTTAACATGGCATTCTTATTGTCCCTAGCATTTCACCTAACACTTTAGTAATCAAAACACTTAAAATGTCTTTACTCAGAAAAGGAGTGCTTATCGCTGCTTGATAGACAGAAAGCTAGAACTGGAGAAAAACAAACACTAAAAGGAGAAGTTTAACCAAAATTACTTAATGACTGTTTGTGGAGTAAAATTATCCTTCTGAGGAATGAGATACTAGCCTAATTAATGGACAAAGGCTTTATTTTATGGTAGCGCACGGATGTTATATTATCTTTAGATTTCAAGACACAAGCTTTCACAGACACAAGATGAGGGCTAAGTTGATCGCATCTTATTTATACTCGGCAGTGTTACCCTGAGCAAACTCTCAAGTTCAGATAATCTGCAAAGGGTAATCGATTTTTGTTCCGGTCACCATCATTGTCATTTATTCTATCTTATCTGTAGAGTTTATGCCATGAATCAATGGAAAAATTAATTATTGTCAAAAAGGATTCTTTTGTGATTTTGAAGTAAACTTATCCTAGGAGTCACTTGTTCCTAAGAAAGAAGTTCATTGTGAATATTATAAATAGAAGTTCCAAATGGGAGACATTTGAGAAAATATAAAATAATTGATTTGAATTTATTTGTTTGCATTACCTAATTGATAACTATGGTTTTGAGCAACCGCAACATAATTTTTATCTGAGTTTTAATGATCATGAAGTAAAATCCCTAAATAAGACACATAATTTAAATACTTTATCACGCGTGAAAATAATTGCTAACTGGAAATTATACAAATTGTAATATGTGCTAACTTTGGATCTCTCTGGAACTTACAAATGAGAGCACTTGCAAATGTTTAAGGAGACAACTCAGCTTCCCAGACCATAATTAGTGGTGTTTTATGAAGGTCTGGAACTATTTAAATTGCCCATGCATTTGTTCTTTCCATGTATTCATTCCATGAGCAATGTATTTCCCTTTTTCCACTTTGTATGAAGAATGAGGGTAGAAAACACCCGTAATTCTATACTTTTTGAGAAGCATGGAACACATCCATCAGTTTAGAACACCCTCAAATGAAATTCTTTACCCTCATTTGGTCTCCATTGTGGGCAATTTATAAACATTCATATTTAAATATAATGCCTCTTTTTGCAGAAGAAGAACATATGAACCCCAGATGAAAGTCTAGTTAATGGGATAACGAAGAAGAGGCTTAGTTTTATGACTTGTCTCGTTATCTCTCCTTAGTAAAGTCATTTAATTGCTCCTTGTGCCTTTCTACAAAGAAGAGAACTATATTTACTGGCCCTGTAAAAAGTTCTAGTAATGTTAACTGGTCAAAGTTAGTCTAAAAATCGCATTCAGCATCACTCAGTCTAAATGAATATGGCCGCATTAGTTATTTGCTGAGACTTACTTGCAGATGTTGGTCTGTCTGGTGCTACTGGCCCAGAGGCACTAACATTATTGGATAGCTGTTGCAAGGACTAACTCAGAGGTTGCCATGTTTTATTTGATCCCTAAAATTGTGTGTGTGTTTTTCATTGAGTCAACATTAAAATTTTGGAAGATTTCACATAAAATTCCACATTTCTATCTTCTGTTGAAATCTGGCCGCCCTTGGCTTATATTCCTGCATAGAAGCAATCAGCTGGAAACAAATGTTCATTGCCACCTTTGGATAAGGTGTAACTTTCCAGTTTGTTACTGTTTACCACAGATGCTGTGCCCACTGTTATGGTGAGGAAGCTTGCTGCATTGCTTCCCTTTTTTTCTTATACCTCTTTAAAAAAGATAAATGAAAACCAGAACAGTAGTCTTCTTTTCAAGAAAAATATGACAAAGTATGTTTTTTGTGTGTGTGTTTTTTTCCAGAAAGTAGAGATATTGACAAGTGTTTAATAGGGTTAGACAAATAATGTCTGTTTGTGTTAAATGATTGTAACTGCCCTGGCTGGGTGGCTTATTTGGTTGAAGCATAGTCCCGTGTACCAAAAAGGTTTTGGGTTTGATTCCCAGTAGGAATGCAAACCAGAGGCAACTGATCAATGTTTCTCTCTAATCAATCAATCTCTCTCTCTCTCTCTCTCTCTCTCTCGCTCTCTCTCTCTTTCCAAAATCAATAAACAGATCCTCAGATGAGGACAAAATAAAATTATACCCAACAGCTTTCCTCATATCACTTAACACTCAGATTCTATTAGTGAGTAGGTTACAGCAGCTCCCAGGCTACCCTTGAGTTTGGCCTCGGGTGCCCTATAAATGGAATCTTCTTTCTCCTCAGAAGCCCTTGTCATGCTCCCTGCCCAGAACTGCTGAAGCCGTCCAGCAGTCCTTTTTCAGAACTCATTTTGGCTTTCTGTCTGCCCCTTTGAACCTGATTCTCTGCATCTTCCCCCTCTTAGCCAGAATAGAGGTTCCTGTTTCTTACAGCCCCTGCACCAAAATTAGATGCCAGATGTAATAGAGTAATTCACTACTCTTTGTCAAATATGTACTATTTGTCATAGGTCCAAGGGTGAAACAATGAACAAAATATATCCAGTTAAGGCCAATACACAGCTTGCATTCCAGAGAGAGAAACAGACAATAAAAATCCAAGCAGCTGTTCTGGCCGATGTGGCTCAGTTGGAGCGTCCTCCTGTACACCGAAGGGTCACAGGTTCGATTCCCAGTCAGGGCACACACCCAGGTTGTGGGTTCCATCCCCAGTCAGGGTGTGTACAAGAGGCAACTGATCGATGTTTCTTTCTCACAATGATGTTTCTCTCTCCCTTCCTCTCTAAAATATATATATGCGCACAGCTAATATCATGTACAGTTAGGCAAATAGGACTCTGAAGCAAAATAAAGCAGGCTAAGGAGATAGTGGAAATAGAGAAGGGGAGCTATTTTTATATGTGTCATCACCTTGAAGGAAGACACTTTTCAACTGAGAACTGAATGAGGTAACAGAGAAAATCATGGACTTGCGTGGAGTGTTTCAGATGGGGAATAACAAGTGCCAAGGTGCTGGAGGGCAGATGCCTGAGGCTCCAGAAGAGCGAGAACTGGGATGGGAGTGGTAGATGCGGGCCAGGCACACCGGGGCTTGCAGGCCATGCTAGGCTGTTGGGATTTTATTCTAAGATTAATAGAAGTCACTGGGGCTTTTTCAACGGTTTCAGAGGGGAATTGTCACGTTTAATTTACCACATCCAATCCAAGCTCTGACTTCAGAGGACACTCTTTTGGGAGAAGGGATCAGATGGAATAAAATTCCTGCACATTAGGGTTCTGATTGAATTTGATAATAATAGTTTAATTTATTTTAACCAGTAACAACATTTGATTATATCCACGTGTGTTTTTTTTCTAACAATATTATATCTGGCACAGAATAAGAAATAGAAAAGTAATGGATGAGGAAGGTGAAAAGTTATATACGCAGTGGTGTCAGCTCCTCTCAGAAAAGTAAAAGGATAGAATGAGTGGACTTAGCCTCATTCAAATGATCAAATTATACACCTTGTATATTCATTTTTTACAGATGGTACTATATATGGTTGTGTTGTTTACTCTTCAGTGGGCAGCAGATACACTTAAAACAACTTGAGCTAAATATTTTGAAAAGTTGAGGACTTTTAATAATTACTGAAACTAAGTAAGTATTTTATTAACTTGGTTTTTAAAAAATATTTTTTAGTGCCCAGGAGGAGCATTTACACCCAATATGCGAACCACCAAGGAGTTCCCAGATGATGTTGTCACTTTCATTCGGAACCACCCTCTCATGTACAATTCCATCTACCCGATCCACAAAAGGCCCTTGATCGTCCGGATAGGCACTGACTATAAGTACACAAAGATAGCTGTGGATCGAGTGAACGCTGCTGATGGCAGATACCATGTCCTCTTTCTTGGAACAGGTAAGTAGTTGAGCTCAAATTATACTTCAGTGTGTAGAAAACGAGTATAATAGGTAAGGACTATGCTACTGAAACCAAAAAGTCCCCAGTGTTTATTTCTGTCTGACCATTAGTGAGATAGTTAATGTCTTTATGCCTCAGTTTCCACATCTGTAAATTGGAATTGATGAACTAAAATAAGCTGCTTTATAGGGTTGTGTGTAAATGGATTAATGTGTGTGTGTGTGTGTGTGTGTGTGTGCGCTGCTGATGGCAGATACCATGTCCTCTTTCTTGGAACAGGTAAGTAGTTGAGCTCAAATTATACTTCAGTGTGTAGAAAACGAGTACGTATATATAAAGCACCTAGAATAGTTCCTGGCACTTATTATAGTGAAATGTAATGATAATGACCCGAATGAAGAGAGGAAGACATTTTAAGCATGGGTAAGTGATTTCCCAACTAAAGCAAATTTTGTGACATTTTTATTAATACATGGATTTATTTCTCAATGATAATGATAGATATGTTCTGTTCTAGGTAACATTTGAAAGGGAACTTAATGAGCCAAATACTGATATTTTTTAAAAAGTATTGATGGTACTGTTTTAATATATTCATGAATTCTAGTTTGTCAATTTACTTCAATAGACAAGTTGATTGAAAATACTCCTGCCTATAGACCTACATGTTGTTGAATGGCTAGCCTTATAGCAGTGGTTCTCAAAATGTGGTCTTCAGACCAGAGGAGCAAAATGAGTATCACCCAAGAATTTGTTAGAAATGCAAATTCTCGGGCTCCAACCCAGGAACTCCAGAGAGGAGACCCAGCCATCTGTGTTTTAATAAGCCCTCCAGGTAAATCTCATGCACTCTAAAGTTTGAGAACCACTACTCAAAAAAAACAATTTTTTTAAAGAAACTAGGTTGCCTGTAAGGCAGTAATTAACAATATCTTAATATTTATCTAACATTCCTGACTACCGTGTAGGCATTGATGAAATCTATTTACTTGTCTTGTTGCAATATTAGAACTAGTCCATGAAATTAGGTTGTTTCTCTACTAGTTTAAGAAATGGATATACAATAAAAGTTGTCTGTAAACATCATTATAAGATAGGTAGTGGTGGAATATGTATTCCGAGCTAAGGAAGAAATTGCACTCAAACTTCAGTCAATGTAGGATGTGAATACTATTTTGTGGCTAAATATAATTTTCAAAGTCTGTTTTTCTTATAAAGTTCTTATTGTACCCTTGTTTATTATTATACTTAAACCCTCAGATGTGAATCTTTCACTCTCATATAATTACAGCTTATACTGGTCTGAGGTTGAGAAGCTTCTGACATGCACTGTTTGGCATCCTCTCCCATACTTGGCCATATCTATGTTTTAACTTGTCCTTTCGTTGCTTACCCCGTACCCAAGGAATAATCCTTCCTTCCAGACTAACCGATTCCCACTCTGCTTTTAATTTCATCCCCTCCTGACATTGTCAAGACCATTCTTTATCAGTTATATTCGAATTCATTTTTTCTTACATTTTATTCTCCACTTAACACTTGGCTTCGAAACCTTATGCTAGGATATAAAACTAGCCCTAACCTTCACCCACTGCTACCTCTGCTATACCGCTGGTTTTGCCAAGGTCTTCAATGCTCCCAAGGTTAGAAAATCCAATGGCCTTTATCATTAAAATGCCTCCGTCTCCTCTTTGCATCACTTGGCATTGTAGAATCTCTCTTTACTTGGTTCAGTCACAAGTTACAAAAGTCCTCTTTTCTCTGGAAGCTCCTTCTCAATTGCCTTCATTAGCCTGCATGTCTCCTGCCCATGAGTGTGGGCATTCCGGGAGGTTCTTTCCATGGTCTTCTTTTTACATATTCTTAGGCCATCTTATTCATTCATTTGGTTCTAATAACCTGTAATCCCAAATGTGTATCTCTAGTCATTGAAATTTTCTGAGCTCATTATTTGCATTTACAACTTACTGTTAGATAAACACAAATTGTATGATCCATTAACATTTTAGACACCATACTTCAAAGTCAGTTCATTCACTTCTAAAACCCTCTATCCAATGCTTAATCTAGTCTTCCATATTTGTGTTCTTATTGCACATTCCTCTCAAGGTTCTATTTATCCTTGACATATATTTTCTATCTGTCATTCCACAGTACCGGGTAAGCTCAATAAATATTTGTCAAGATGAATTGAAAATCATAACTGTCCATCGCTACTACTCATGTAATCAAATAAATCCGTAACTGACTTCAAAAGCTAATACCATTTTCATATATCCTGTGTTCTTCTAAGATGTAGCCTCTAAATTAATGACGACAAAGAGTTGCTTTTAGCCTTGGCTCAGATCATTCAATGTGGAGTTTGCTTTAAAAAAAATTTATTTTTTCCTGAAGTGAAGTGGTAATTTTAGAGTCAATCTCTCCCTTAATGTCTCATTGAAACCTGTCTTAATGTGGACTCTGATGTTATAACCAGGCTGTTTTTTTGTGTTACTCTATATGAAATATGTAATTTCATGAATGGAATTTCCAAGTCCTTATAAACTGTGCAGCAGTGTTTATTCAGATAAAAGGCAGTAGGAAACATGCTTTTACACAAGTTCTTTGGCTTTTCTTACCACATCAGTATCTGGCATCTTTACATATACTTTTTACATTGGTATTTAAACATTTGTGTCATTTTGAAAAATAGTACTTAGGAATATGTTTTTAATTTTAGTAGGAAACTTCCTAATGATCGCTTACAAAGCCACACAAGTCTCTTGAAGAGTATTCTAGTAGGAAATGTTTCTCCCAACAGTATCTATCTGAAGAGATAGTAACTCACTTAATCACTGAACCTTATTCTCATGGTCATATCAGACAACACTACGACTTAAAAATAGTGCTTTCAATTTACCTGAAATTCTAACAACCAATATATCGGTATAAACTATTTTCTGCCCAAGTAGTTCTTGAATTGCTGGTAAAATTTCTTTAAAGGAGAATTCTCAGTGCTTGTTTGCTAAAAGTAAATAAAATACTTTTCTAAACTGGAACTTGAGGGAAGCATAAGTCACTATTCCTAGGATTTCTTAGGTTTGTATATCTAAATGTCTTAGGTAGGATATAATATTTCTTGGGTATCTCCAAATCCTCAAGTACAGAAGAGCCCTTCAGCTGTTATATAAATAAACTAGAGACCCAGTGCATGAAATTCGTGTACTTGTAGGAGCCCACAGGAACTCCATGGTAGCTCTGTGGGCTCAATGCCTAGTAACTGTTACAATTAGCCCATTACAGTGTATTACTCTGGCGGAGTTTGAGAGGCTGATAATCTGGCCTTCTATTCTCATGGGACTGTCTCATTATATTTTGTGTGCTGCCAGATACCAAGATAGAGATATAAATACATCCTATATAATAAAAGGCTAATATGCAAATTGACTGAACCACCAGGGGGCTGACGCTCAATGTAGGAGCTGCCCCCTGTTGGCCAGTGTACTCCCACAGGGGGAACGCCTCTCAGCCAGAAACCAGGCTCACAGCTGGCGAGCGCAGCGGCAGTGGCAGGAGCTTCTCCTGCCTCCACTGCAGTGCTAAGGATGTCCAACTGATGGCAGGGAGTGGGCCTAAGCCATCAGTCGGACATCCCCAGAGGGCTCCCCGACAAAGAGAGGGTGCAGCACAGGCTGAGAAACCCATACCCCAAGTGCACAAATTTCATGCACTGGGTATCTAGTAGATAAATAAAATATCAGGAAGGTAAGAAGGAAGGAAGGAAGGAAGGAAGGAAGGAAGGAAGGAAGGAAGGAAGGAAGGAAGGAAGGAAGGAAGGAAGGAAAGA